GTCCAAGGCAGAATCAAGATCATCCTAGGTGCACGATGGCTTAAACGATTTATGGTCTCACTTACGCGATCCTATATAGAAAACCCTTTACCACTTAAGCAATATATATAATCGCTTAAGCAATCACGGGCAACACTTATTTTTTCCAGCTTTTCTCTTGAATTTTGAAAAACTAAAATCACCAACACATATTAATTTCATCTTTTCTCCTGAATTTGACAACCTAATTGCATCAACACATTAATGCCCTTTAACAAGAATACTAAACAAACTCGAACTCAAACTTAAAAGAGAGAAAGAAATACCGAATTGCTTTTGTACAAATCTAAAATGTGTCAATTACATTAAATTACAACATTATATACAACAAATAAATGTCCTATATACACCCAAAATAAAAGCAGTGCCGGTAGCCTCCATTCTCCCTCTTCATCACTCTCTTCAATCACTTCCCCATTCTGCATAATTATCCAGCACAACTTCAGCATTAACAACAACAACATTAGCTTGTTCGTCTTCTTCTACAACACCTTTTCTAACATTATTCAGCCTTGGCCTTGGCCACAAAGTATACATAACACCAAAACCTAAGTATTAACAGCCTGACGCCTAACAACATAAGCTGATCCAATTCAAGACAATTCAATTATTCAAGACAACCCAATAAGAAATGCATTTCACATAAACTACAAAACTCTAAGTCCAACTTCCATACCTTTTGATGACAACATCAACAATAACTTAGATTGGGTTCTGGTCAGTAAAAAAGGATCCATATGCCTATGGAAGCACTCAATAGCCAACTGCTCCAGAAAGTTACTCATTGTTTCATCATTCAACTTGTCCATTAGGATGTTGGTCATGTCGAACTCAATAAATTTTAGTGCATATGCCCCGCAATCAGCATTATAATGGGAGGAATACATTAGCATTAGAATCAGCTTATAGAACAATTATATTATGTAAGTTTTATACAAAATTTACCTCGAGTCATTTATTGAGACGAGAAGGCGTTTGAGTGGCCACTTTCTCGTCAGTAGTTCATCACCCAAGTGTTGAAACATCCTGTTGTCACGTAATGGCCACGAGAACAATATACACAGCGGTTGCAACTTTGTCTCCAGTTGTCTCTCTCAACAAATACTCGGGTTGCAATCAAGGATCTACAGCAAACCCTCATCTAGTACCTAAACGATGGTTATCCAATGCATATCCTTGATGTTCATGATGCAGTATACTTTTTTAATGTTTGCCCAACTGTTGCCATATTTGGGTCTTTTCTCACGTACATACTGCATCATCTTCTCATCAAACCGAAAATCATCAAGGACACCATCAAAGTTATCTGCGACCAATCTTTTTTGTTTGCCTCCCCTTGTTGCACCTCCACCATTGGTCTTTTCCTTTAAAGTGTCATATTTAGTTACTAGCCTTTCGCCAAAGGCCACATCAGTGATAGCATAGTGTGGATACAAAATATCACCATTATTGCTCTGTCGTAGCCTCATAAGTGCCAATACCTCATCAATGTGTTGCATCAAATTAAAACAACATGATAAGTATACAATATCTCATGGAAAACATAAGCAAAAATAAGAGAAAACAACTCACTGAGTCGTCAAGCCACCTGCCCATTGTCAATATCTTTTCAAACCACTCCTGGGATAATCCTCAATCTTGCACTTCACACACCTATCACTTCCAGAATCATTGTAATAGGCATAAAAGAGTTTTTTCTTTTCCTCATCTATTGGCCTATACAAATTGACCTTTAACTCCTTCGTTTTCAGTTCCCTACTTTCTCTGCCTTCCTTCTCACCCTCCTCTATTTTCACTTCCTCGCTTCCTTCATGTCCCACCTCATCCTCCTCCATTTTCACTTCCCCACTTCCTTCGCGTCTTGCCTCACCCTCCTTCATTTTTCGCTTCCCCACTTCCTCAACCTTCTTCCTTACCCTCCTCCATTTTTGCTTCTCCACTTTCACGGACTTCCTCATTTTCCTTTTCTTTCCATACGTTACTACTGTGTAAGGAGATTTTACGTGCTTACTCTTTCGACTCTCTCTTTTATGTTCAGGTTGCACTTCAACCACTCTCAATACCCCACCAACTTCCTCCTCCACCCTACCAACTTTCTCCACCACCTTTTTCATCCGCTCTTCCATCTTCTCAAACCTCTCATAAATGGCTATTGTAAAACTCTCAAACAGACCGTTTATGAGGTCAACCACCTTATTCTCCCGACCTCGATGTCTCAACAAAGCAGTATTTGTTATACTAGTTTGCCAATTGGGTGGAGGCGTACAAACCTCTTCATCCTCCTCCTCCTCCTCCTCCTTCCCATTGATTGGAGCTTTATTATCCTTGGCCTCAACAACATTCTCAAGCAGTGGCCCTATAGCTCCACTCACATGCGCTACCCTTCTAGGTCTCGTATTAGGTAGTCTATCCCTTCATCTGCTACATCATTCAGTGCTCTGAACGATGTAACATACTCCTCTCCCGCTTCACCATTGTAGGGGTGAGGAAGGGACGGACTCCCTGCAATAAGAAAAAAAATCAATCAAATTTAAGCCACATTTAAAAGTAAGTGCATATTCAAAAGATTAATCCTTTAATCTTATCGGAGCCGCTTAAATTTCCATTTCTATTTTGTCGTAATCCCAATGGGTATACTTCTCGATATGCCACTGCAACATCCTATGAAATTGCGGTCGCTCATCCGAAGTCTTCTTTCGTTCCTTGTCTTAGCCAGGACAGGGACGACCTCATACATCCAAGCCTACATTGTAAAAAAACAGCCCATATCATAATTAAAACACATATAATACAAAAAAAAATAACAAAAAGCTATTAATATTTACCTGCATTGCCCATGGGAAGCCAAATAAATTGTACGTGCTCGGTTTATCCTTCTTAACAGCTTGGCGATGCTTTATCGCCATGTCTTTTCCACGCAGAGAGTCAATGGTAGGCTGAAATGATACCCGTCCCTACGGATGAGCATTAAAGAAGTTCATGTTGCTTGCAAACTTCACCCAATCCATATTAACAACTTTTGTTGAGTCAGAAGCCATTATGATCGAATGCACGAACCATACCAGGCACATCTTGAAATTTTTGAAGAGGTATACCCATCTTCTCCCAACCTCTCCTCTAAATAGAGTCCTGTAATCGATGCCTTCCCTCCCAAAACCTTTGTAGCCAAGTTATTGGTTGCTCTACTCTTCGTAATTCGCTCTTGCTCTTCCGCATCTAGAAATGCCTCACATCTTAAGCTTGTCATCAGGGCATATTCCATCATCCCAAAACATAGTGGCTTCCCATCCACCACCAACCACATTTCCCTTTTTTTTTTTTTTTTTTTTTGGCTTTTAACTAAGTGCAGCAACATATAATACACTCTTTGCCCCCATAACGTCTTTTTCCAATTTTCTCTGATGTCTGTAAAATGACCGAAACAACTATTTTTGAATTGGTCCATACCCTTCTTTTGTTCCTCTAAAATCTCCATTATTCTTATAAAAACTTGCCAACTTGACCTAACTGTCACCCTTATTGGGAAGTACGGTACCTTATCGCTTACAACTTCCAACCTATAGTCTTTATAATTTACACTTAGAAAAATCTACATAATTGATATAAACTAAACAACAACAAAAAAAGAAACCAAAACAACTAATAGGCTGTCAATTTTGGGGATATGGGCTTCGAGGGCATCAGGGAGTGGGTGTTTTTGGCTTCGAGAGGACTGGGGAAGCCAATGCAAGCTCTACAAAGGCTGTTGTGGCAGGTTCCATGACTGGAGATGGCTGAGGATGACAGATATTGCAAGGCAGCCCTCCAGCCCCCCTATTCCGCCATCTTTTGTATTGCAAGGCAGCCCTCCAGCCCCCCTATTCCGCCATCTTCTGCCATCCCCAGCCCTCCAACCTCCTACAAACAACCTCCATTGCCTTCCCTCATCCTCTAGAACCCAAACAAAGCGACTCTCCCAATGACTGCCATTTGCTCGACAAAACGGCACAACCACCATAACAATAAAACCAACTACATATCCCCCAAATTCGCACAAACCAATCAAATTATTCATCAAATTCAAAATCACCAGTAAAAAAGTACCATTTCTTCACCGGTGTCCTCCTCCTCGCCTGAATTCTCGTTGGCGCCCTCCTCTTCAAAACTATTTTTCGATTCTTCTCTTTATTCTTGTGCCGCCATTGGCTCCTCTGCCTCGGGACCACCTTGACTCATCGGATGATCCACTAGAGCATCTTTTTCGATAACCTTTGAATAGTTGCCGCCGCCGTAGTCTATGATTTGGAATGGGGTTGGGTTTTCCTCCTCCTTGTGAATATCAACCATGATTTTGTGTAACGAATCTTTAGGATCAAATATTGGCTGGAAATAGAGAATTTTTATCGTTGGAAATTGTAGAGAAATTGAAGGTGTTTCGTCAGTCTCTTTGGAGTATATTGTTCAGTTAAGCAATTTTGAAGGGAGGGGGTCGTTTTTTATTTTTAAAATTTAAACAAACTTCCATTAATTATAATATTACCCATATATGTTTAAATCTTTTCAGTTTAACCCATTTTACATGTTTAATGAATCCTAAGTGTGTCACGTCAGTTTTTCTAACTTAAAAAAAATTGCAAAATTTTTTTTGAGTTATTTTTCTAAATGCAAACTTGGGAGGTCTGGCGAGTTAAATTTCCTCTGGTTTCTGTCATTACTCAAGTTTTGAATCTTTTTGAGATCCTCAATTCGTATTATAAAGAAGATTAATAGTTAAATATATGAAAGAATTTTTCTTGTAAATATTACACTATAATTATATGTTCTCTTGTGGGCAAGCCCAAGCAGCGAAACCACAGGCAACTCATGGTTTAAGCGCACACCAAAGGTTAGGACTTTCAAATCCTTGAGTCAAAATTCACTCAAACCCATCTCCAATTCTTCATTACACGACGAAAAATCGCTTCTTCAATGCCACCTTACACCGCTAAGGCCGAATGTATGTCCCAATTCGAGCTGCGACTTTGATCTCCACACGGGGACTCTTGGAAGAAAAGCTTCAAATCCTTCATAAACGCGCCAACCTTAACCACATTAAACAACTTTACGCACAAATCATCAAGCAGGACCTCCACAATGACTTGTATATCGCAACGAAACTGGTTTCTTCTTTGTCCCTTTGCCGCCAATTGGGGTTGGCTATTAAGGTTTTTAATTATGTTCAAGACCCTAATGTTCATTTGTACAATACTTTGATAAGCGCTTGTGTGCAAAACTCTAAGAATGTTCACGCTTTTAGGGTCTTCTTTGAAATGCAAAAGGATGGTGTTTTTGCTGATAATTATACGTACCCCTTTATTTTAAAGGCGTGTGGTGGGCAAAATGGGTTAAAAGTTGTACAAATGATACATACCCTGATAGAGAAATGTGGGTTTTTGAGTGTTATTCCTGTGATTAATGCGTTAATTGATAGTTACTCAAAGTGTGGTGTGGTTGGTGTTATTGCAGCTAAGAAGTTGTTTATGGTTCTGGGTGAGAAAGATATCGTGACGTGGAATTAAACGATTTATGGGTTGGTGAAAAGTGGGGAGTTGACTGAAGCTCAAAGGCTGTTTGATGAAATGCCTGAGAGAGATAGGATTACTTGGAATACGATGTTAGAGGGGTATGCAAAGGCTGGATAAATGAACTTGGCATTTGAATTGTTTGAAAAAATTCCAGCGAGAGATGTTGTTTCGTGGTCGACGATGATTTGGGGGTATAGTAAAGCTGGAGATATGGAGATGGCAAAATTGTTGTTCGATAGGATGCCAGTTAAGAAGTTGATTCCTTGGACTATATTAATATCTGGGTTCGCTGAAAAGGGGATGACGAAGGAGGCAATGAGATTGTATGATGAAAGGGAGGAGGTTGGATTGAAGCCGGGTGCTTGGACTGTTATTAGAATATTGGCTGCTTGCGCTGAGTCAGGTTTGCTTAGTTTGGGGACGAAAGTTCATACTTCTATTGAGAGGAATAGGTTTAAATGTAGTACGAATGTGTCCAATGCCTTAATTGATATGTATGCAAAGTGTGGTAGCTTGGACAAGGCTGTGAGCGTCTTTAATGTGACACCAAAGAAAGATGTGGGGTCTTGGAATGCTATGCTACAAGGATTTGCGATGCATGGTCATGGTGAGAAAGCACTGGAGCTTTTCTCAACGATGAAACAAGAAGGGTTTAAGCCTAATAAAATTACTTTCATTGGTGTCTTATGTGCTTGTACACATGCAGGCTTCATTGACGAGGGTGTACAGTATTTCTATTCAATGGAAAGAGATTATGGGATTCTTCCTCGAGTTAAGCATTATGGTTGCATGATTGACCTTTTGGGCCGGGGTGGACATCTTAAGGAGGCTTTTAGACTTGTGCACAGCATGCCATTTGAACCGAATGCCGTTATTTGGGGTACCCTTTTGGGAGCGTGCCGAATGCATAATGCTTTAGAACTTGCTCGGGAGGCACTTGATCACCTGGTTAAATTGGAACCATCGGATCCTGGTAATTACTCTATGTTGTCAAACATTTATGAAGCAGCAGGAGACTGGGACAACGTTGCTAGTGTAAGGCTACTTATGAGAAGCACTGGAATTCAAAAGCCATCGGGGGCTAGTTCTATTGAAGTGGACAACGAGGTCCATGAATTTACAGTATACGATAGATTGCACCCTAAATCGGAAAAGATATATGAGATGATTGACACATTGGGCCAAGATCTTAATGAGGCCAGGTATGTCCCAAAGGTACCAGTAGACGTTGGTGAGGGGGTGATTTAGGACCTAGAAGCTTGGCCTCCACTGATGGAATGGAAAAAGAACAGAGCAAAACAAGAAAGAAAGCGAAGATAAGAAGAAAGAATAAATGAAGAGTTGAAAGAAGTTGATTGGCGGTAAGAAATAGAGAAAACGGAAAGGGGTTAGGTGGCGCAGAATTTTTAGAGAGGCCACGGAGAGGCGTGGGTTAAGGTGGAGAAATGGTGGTAGGCAGTTGAAAAATATATGCAGAAAAATCAAGAGACAAATGTGCACTCTCTTCTCTTCTCTTCTCCCCACTATTCTTTTGTTTTCATGGCTTTTTTTCTTTTTTCCTTTCTTTTTAAATGAGAAAAAAATAGCCTAAATGTGGTAACTTATGAAATTTAAATGTTTTAATTTTTTTTATTTATGAAAATTAATATTCCCGCTCTTGGAATTGGAAAGATTATGAAAGTAATACTTTAGTTTCTGTCGTGGGTTTGTGGGGGGCATTTTATTAGAAGACCAAATCAAGTTTAAATTTAATTAAAAGGTTATGTAGTTTTAAAGTGTTAAGTAAATAGCCTTATTATTGATTAAGATTAATTAAACATGATCAGTGGTTAATTAGGATTAATGAAGTATTGTGTAGTCTTTTAAAAATTATAATATATCCCCAAAGTCGCTTAAACAATGTGATGTATCGCTTAAGCGACTTTGGAGATGCTTTTTAAAATCTGTCAACCCTTAATATATCGGTAAATAATTTTTGTTTTCATGCATTATAGGTGACTTGACTATTATTAGACATGAGACAAGTGGTTTTGGGGGTTGAATATTTTGGTGAGTGGGTGGACAAAGAAAGTTGTTGGAAGTGGATTGGGAAGAGCAAACAAGTTAAAGTAATTGTTGTGCGTACAAAAGTTAGTTTTGATGAGTTGATTGATGAAATCATTAGAAGAGGTGGGTTGAGTTGCTCACTTGATGATATAGTTATGAAGTATGTTTTAAGCAGAGTTCCTGCAAATTTTAAGGTACCCCCTGTTGTATTAATGTCTGAAAAAGATGTGAAGTTATTTATACTAGATGTGGGCGATAATGGTTCGAGGCCAATTTTAACGGTCTCGGTTGTGGATAAAGCTTTGGAAGTTGATTCAAAAGTAAGCGGTGATATGGGTGGAGAGAATGCTGGTTTTAATTTTAACTACGAGGGTATTGATTTCTTTGTTGAAAAATCAACAGTAGGCGGTGGGGGTGGGCAAAATTTTAGGGTAGAACCGAAACCGATGGGTACCTGGGTGTCGGTTTCGGTTCTTACCCGGAACCAGTCGTAATAGGGTAGGTTCCAATTTAAAAAAATTGGAACTGATATTGTGCGGTTCCAGTTCTGGTTCCAAATCAAAGGAATCGAAAATGGGACTAAATTGATATAATATTAAAGAATAGGTTTTTTTTTTGATATTTTGCATATGAGGTTTTTTTTGATATTTTGCATATCATATAAATATATAAGAAAATTTTGGTTTTTTTTTATCTTACTATCAAAAGTCTTATTAATTTTCATTAAAAGATCACTTTTTCAAAATATTATTATTAATATTTAAGTTTCACTTATTACTTGATTAAGAAATTTAATATACATTAAGACATTTACATTAAATAATAGCTTTTAAATGTTTATTATCAGTGAAAACAAACAATTAAATATTTATAATCAAGCATCAAACATCACGTAAATATAAACAAATATATTATTTAATGTTTTGTACTTAATTGTTAGGGGTGCAATTATAATTTTATAAGGGTTTATTTGTCATTTTAAAAAAATAGGGGGCAATTGATATTTTCCAGGGTACTTGGAACTAGAACTGGAACTGGAACCGACTGTTATAGTTCCAGTTCCAAATCAAAGGAATCGCCTGATTCTGATTTCGGTTCCTTTGATTTTGGGCGAGACTCAGACCTACCCACCCCTAGTAGGCGATGATTTGGGTGGTGAGGAGGACACTATAGAAGAGGTTGGTTGTGTGAGGCAGAATGAAAATGTGGACGCGGAGGACCCCATACATGTTCCCGCAGATGTTGAGATTCCTATAAATACAGATTATACAGAAGGTGTCGTTTGTGAGGAAGAGAACACTTGGGTCGTTTATACAGGTTTAGAGGCGGCAATTGCGGGTAGTAGTAAATCAGCTCACGTTTTTACTAATGAATTGGACTTGCGCGTAGTTTATTTATTTAACAGCAAGGAGGAAAGGGTGAGGAAGTTAAAACTTGTTGTCGTGAGAGGTAATTTTGAGTTCATCACCAAAAAGTCTAATTAATCAGTAGTAATGATTGCATGCCGTGCCTGAAAGTGCAAGCGGTGGGTTTATTGTAGAAGGTTGGCAGAGTCCAAAAAATTTATTGTTAACACATATACCCGTGAGCACACATGTGGGTTAGGACATATTTCAGGTGAGCATCGACAAGTCTCTACTGATGTGTAACACCCCAACATTGAGGTACATGATTTAAATTATGTTGTATAGCCCTTAGTTAAATTTTGTTAGAATTATTTTAAGAGAATATGAAGAAAATGCCTTAAACTTGCATTAAGGGTAAAATAATATTTTCACTCAAAACTAGTTGATTTTATGGGGAGTGAAAAGAGATAGAAAATCATAGAGAATTCAATAAAAGTGAAGGCATTTTGGTAATTGACTAAGGGACAAAGATGAAATTTCTTAGAAAGCGTAAGGGCAAAATGGGAAATGAGTTATAAACTAAAATGTTAAGGGTTGAAAACCTTATTTCGTTCATACCACCCCCCACATCCTCTCATTTTTCTCTCAAATTTTCATTCACTTTTCCAGGAATTGGAGGCTTTTGAGTAGATTTTCATAGGGTTTTGATTCAAGGCATCAAAAGGTAAGGATTCATGCACTTTATTCATGTTTTAGTGTAAAAGTTGAGTTCTTATGAAGTTTAGGCTTAGGGTTAGAGAGATTTGAAGTCAACAGAGTAGAGAGCTTAGGAAGACACTCAAGCATAAGGTAAGTAAATTCCACTCAAAATCCAACTCAAGCTAAAATTAGAATCAAGTGAGTAGAGATTTATTTAAATATGCATATGTTGTGATTATTGAGAAATTGAGATGAGATTGATGATGAATAATTCTTTTGTTGGATATATTTGAATATGAGAAGTATATGTGATGATTTGATGATGGGTTTGAAATTGGAAGAATTGGAGAAATTTTTTGGAGTGTGTTGCCATTTCTGTATGTGATGTTACAAGAGAGTTTTTCTCTCATTTTGGATGGTTTGAGAAATAATATAATGATAAATGAATTAGGGTTTGTTTATGCACACAATGTTTGATGAAATGCCTAAGTGAAAACTACCCTGTCACAACCGTGACTTTCTGAGTGATTTTTGGCATCTGACTGGATTGAGACCAAACATAAAAGTTATAGCCCTGTCTCTAACTTTAAAATGAGACAAAAATCGTAGCAATCGATATGTATCCTCAAGTTAATGCCTTCTTGAATAAGACTATGCAGAATGACTATCTTTGATGCAACATTGCATTTGTGCATTTCATAAGTACAATATAGAAATTTTAAGCATGAGCCATCCATATGCATATAATTGGGTATGTGTAGAAATTTAAGAAAGAATAAGAATAAAGAATAAGAATAAAGAAAGAAAGAAGAAAAATAACACCCCTAAGATAAAGAGAAAGGAAAATAAACTTAAAGGATTAAAGAGTGTTAAAAGAAAAGTAAAGGATAGTTGATGTGATGGGGAACCATGAGTGTTAAGAAGAAATTCCACATACACGCCACCGTAATTGAGTGGCATAAGAAGAAGAAAAATTGTACGGCCCGTAAGAGTGTAGTGGGATGAGTGTTTACCAAGAAGAATTTCCTACATGCATGCCACCTATTGAGTGGCCTAGAAGAAAGAAAGAATAAGCTTTCTTACGGTCCCAAGAGTCCATGTAGATGAGGATTGTACTCACTCACATGGCCAAGGTTCCAAATCCATACATTACCAAGACCGATCGGCAAAGAATAAGAAAAGAAAAAAAAAGAAAAGAAATAAGAGAAAAAGCATTTTGTGCATTATTGCATATTTTTTATCATGTACATTGCCATGAATTTCATCATGGTTAGGAAGAATAGAAGAATAAGAAAGAGAAGATAGAGAGAAGTAGAAAGAAAGAAAAGAACAGTGAGAGTAAGAACAGAGAAAGAAAAGAAGAAAAAAGTAGAGTAAGAAAGAATAAAAGATGATGCATGGGATAACGGAGTAGAGGATTTACTTACTGAGCATATTTTTGCTCACCCCGTGCTTTCTATGTTTTTGCAGGAAATAGGTGAGGATGCGGTCGGATGGACGTCGGCAAGCGGAGAGACATGGCACACTGTCCACCATTTGATGTTTTTGTATATGTTATTTTTTTACTGTGTAAAGAATGTATACATTAAGTAAAGAAAAAATTTGGGCCCACTACTTTAGTCATATATAATGCATTTTTTATTAAGTATATTTTATGAGCATATTATAGAAAGAGTCATTACATGATGTTATTGGACAATTTGTCAAAGTCAGTTTATTAAGGGAAAGGTCCATCTCCTAAGGACTTTAGAGACTTGTGTGCACAGAGTTGGGATGCGATGTTAGTTATTAGAAATGCTGAAAGGAGACAACATGCACAAGATTTGTGAGGGCACGCCAGAGCATGGGTAGGCAGTATTAGAAGCGTACCGTTTATGCTTGAGTTGACAAACTAAGGTAGCAAGACGACTTTGAAGTGACAGAATATGAGATTTAAATATTTTTTTGTTGCTTACGTGTTGCTATAAGGGTTGTTTGTAAACATGATAAATGTGTTGGCTGTTGATGTGTGCTTTTTGACGGGAAAAGTATGAAAGCTATTGTTGTGGCCATTGCACAGACAGCGGGAATCTCACATATCCCGTTGTATGGTGTGTGGTTGACTCTGAGAATGACAAGTCATGGACTTCGTTTTTCTAGCAATGACTTACGATAGTGCCTGACAGTGCAGTTGTGCATAATATCCGATAGGCACAATCGTAAAGAAGGGGATTACCACTATTTACCCTCAAGCACATCACGGAATTCTGTATGAGACACCTTGGCGGAACTTAACA